TCCCCCCCCCCCCCCGCCGCCGATTCCATCATCTGCTCTGGGACAGGAGTCAGGTCCAGTTTGGTGCGACTGAAAACTTTGCGAAGAAGAAGAAGAGGAGGAGGAGGAGGAGATTGGATTTATACCCCGCCCTTCACTTGGAGTCTCAGAGCGGCTCACAAACTCCTTTCCCTCCCCCTCCCCACAACAGACACCCTGTGAGGTCGGTGGGGCTGAGAGCTATTTCCAGAGCTGTCCTTGAAAGCTCTGAAAGAACTATGACTTGCCCAAGGTCATCCAGCAGCTGCAAGTGGAGGAGTGGGGAATCAAACTCAATTCTCCCAGATTAGAGTCTGTGCACTTAACCACTACACCAAACTGGCTAGTTAGGTAGCAAGGTCCTCTCTATCCCCCCCCCCCAATCCTTTTCTCAATCTTAATGACACATTAGTAAAGGTAAAGGTCCCCTTGCTCGAAAGCCAGTCAAATCCGACTCTAGGGTTGCGGTGCTCATCTCCGTTTCCAAGCCGAAGAGCCAGCGCTGTCCGAAGACGTTTCCGTGGTCATGTGGCCGGCATGACTAAACACCAAGGCGCACGGAACGCTGTTCCCTTCCCACCGAAGTGGTACCTATTTATCTACTTGCAATCTCTTGCTTTCGAACTGCTAGGTTGGCAGGAGCTGGAACTAGAGACAGGAGCTCACTCCGTCATGCGGCACCCGGGTCTCGAACTGCTGAACTACTGACCTTCCACAGCCTGCAGTTCAGCGTCTTAACCACTTGAGCCATCGCAGCTCAATGACATATTAATAATGGCTAATAGGCCACTCACTCAAGTTTATGGACGTTGTGATTCATAACGTCTCAAGCCTGTCTTTTTACCGTCTTATTTGATCTCTCGTAAGAGTTCTCGGCCTGCTGCTAACTTGGTGTCGGCTTTAGGGATGATACAAAGGGGGGGGGGTCTTTTCCTTCTCTGTTTGGTCGGTGGCAGACTTTTACTATCTCCTTTGTCACGATTTGTTTGCATTAGAATTATAATCGGTTAGAGGAAAAACTGCTACTTACGGCTGGCTATCCGGCTTTGTGTCGCACGGTGACGGGGCCGCTGTGTTTTTAAGGCTATTTAATGAATGGTTGTATTGTTTTGTCAGTTACGGATATTTGTAAAAACCCAACAAAAGAGGTATAAAAACGTCTTAATTTTTTTTAAAAAAGAAGGAAACAGGGCAGTGTTAAACTGGGATTAGGAAGGTGAGTTCATCCGGGATATCTTTCGCTGCTGGCTGAAAGTGGATAGAGATGATTTTTACTTTTTTCGTTCGGGGTCAAAGGGGATGAGAAACACTTTTACCCCCCCCCCCCCCCATAGTATTGGCATTTGGAGGCACCCTGCTGAGCCAATAGTTGATTCAGGACAGATAAAAGGAAGGGCCGGTTCATTTGAGGACTCAGGATCCTGTGGAATTCACAGGCACATGACATTAGGGACAGCTGGCGGGTCGGGTGGCTTTAATCTCATCGGATCTCGGAAGCTAAGCAGGGTCGGCCCTGGCTGGTATTGGTACAGGCGACCATCAAGGAATACCAAGGTCGGGATGCAGAGGCAGGGAACTGCAAACCTCCTTTCTTGCCTTGAAACGCCGCCCAGTGAGCTTCCGTAGGGATTCGAAACCGTGTCTCCCAGATCTCAGTCTGACACTCTCTAACCACCATGCCCCACTGCTTCTCATTACTATCATAAGAACAGAAGAACAGAAGAGCGGCCATGTTGGATCAGGCCAATTGCCCATCCAGTCCAACACTCTGTCACACAGTGGCCAAAAACACCAGGTGCCCTCAGGAGGTCCAGCAGTGGGGCCAGGACACTAGGAGCCCTCCCACTGTTGCCCCCCCCAAGCACCAAGAATACAGAGTATCACTGCCCCAGACATAAAAACATAAGAGATGCCAATGTTGGATCAGGCCAAAGGCCCATCCAGTCCAGCACTCTGTCACACAGTGGCCAAAAACACCAGGTGCCCTCAGGAGGTCCAGCAGTGGGGCCAGGACACTAGGAGCCCTCCCACTGTTGCCCCCCCCAAGCACCAAGAATACAGAGTATCACTGCCCCAGACATAAAAACATAAGAGATGCCAATGTTGGATCAGGCCAAAGGCCCATCCAGTCCAGCACTCTGTCACACAGTGGCCAAAAACACCAGGTGCCCTCAGGAGGTCCAGCAGTGGGGCCAGGACACTAGGAGCCCTCCCACTGTTGCCCCCCCCAAGCACCAAGAATACAGAGTATCACTGCCCCAGACATAAAAACATAAGAGATGCCAATGTTGGATCAGGCCAAAGGCCCATCCAGTCCAGCACTCTGTCACACAGTGGCCAAAAACACCAGGTGCCCTCAGGAGGTCCAGCAGTGGGGCCAGGACACTAGGAGCCCTCCCACTGTTGCCCCCCCCAAGCACCAAGAATACAGAGTATCACTGCCCCAGACATAAAAACATAAGAGATGCCAATGTTGGATCAGGCCAAAGGCCCATCCAGTCCAGCACTCTGTCACACAGTGGCCAAAAACACCAGGTGCCCTCAGGAGGTCCAGCAGTGGGGCCAGGACACTAGGAGCCCTCCCACTGTTGCCCCCCCCAAGCACCAAGAATACAGAGTATCACTGCCCCAGACATAAAAACATAAGAGATGCCAATGTTGGATCAGGCCAAAGGCCCATCCAGTCCAGCACTCTGTCACACAGTGGCCAAAAACACCAGGTGCCCTCAGGAGGTCCAGCAGTGGGGCCAGGACACTAGGAGCCCTCCCGCTGTTGCCCCCCCCCCAGCACCAAGAAGACAGAGCATCCCTTGCCCCAGCCTGAGAGTTCCTATCTGGACCTTAAACTCAAGAACACCTCTGTGGAATCTCGCTGCAGGTTTCCTCCTCCGCCACCGATCAGCCTGCGGACTTGCCCAACTCCCTTGGCCTCCCCGCTGCCCGAAGGCGCGCCCTCTCCCTTTTTTTCAAGCCTCCGCCTTCCGTAACCCCATTGCACCAACATCTTTGTCCAGGCAACGCCTGAGTTCCTCCAGCTGGGCGTGGATGTGTGAGCGGGGCATGTAACTTTAAGAGAAATCTCTCTCTCCCCCTCTTTTCTCTCCTCCGCGCCTCTCCTCCCATTAACCCTGCTGGGGCCGGATGGAATTTTCACACCCCGTCTCTTGGTCCTCCTCCTGGTCCTCCTCCTCCTCTCCCACCCCACCCCGGGTGCGAATCTCAGGCCTTTTGCAGAACAGTTTTTTTTTTAACAGTGTGTGGGAGTGGGTGAGTCAGGGACAGGGAGAAACGAGAAGGGGACTTTTCCCCTACACTCTCTCTCTCTCTCTTTCCCCCTCTCTCGCCGGCTTTGTGGAGAAGTCAGCGTTTTTGGAAACTGAGAACCCTCCGGAGCAGCTTGCGCGTGAGGAAGTGCGCTACATATGTTTGTCCGAGCTTGTTTTTTGGGAACCAGAGCGAAGAGGGGAGGCGGAGGAGGTGGACGGATAAGGTGCAGCGCTGGAAACGGCGGAGTAGGGGGGAGAAACGGAGCCAAGGAGTCGATGCCAAGCGGATGCCAACTTGGGAACTGGAGGCGCGGGGTATTTTCTTAGCACCTGGGCACCCTTGGGGACGCGCACACCCCTTTTTTCCCGTCTGTCGTTCCTGGGACAAAACAAGTTTCGAAGCTGGGAAGATCGTTCTGAATTTTTTCCCCTTTTTCCCCGTCTGTCGTTCCTGGGACTAAACAAGTTTCAAAGCTGGGAAGATCGTTCTGAATTCCCACCAGGGCTTCCTCGGCCGGTCGAATCTCTCTTTTTTTCCCCCCTCGCCTTTGGATCCGTCGCCGGAGCGCTCTCTTGGGCGCTGACTTCACCGGGCGGGTTTCGTCACTTGTTTTCTACGATAACTTTTTTTGGCATTTATTTTGGACCTCGCGGCGGACGTCGGGAGCCCCGATCGCTGGGGAGGAGGAGGAGGAAAACGGTCCCTCTGCCTCGGTCCCGCTCCGATGAAGCATTAGACACCCTCCCCATCCCACCCCAGGAGCAGAGATTCGGTGGGGAGAATGGATCGCCTTGGCAACTCGCTTCTCTTCTGCCTGCTGCTTTGGTGGATGGGGGCCCCCAGCGACCAAGAAGGTAGGCGCTGCCGAGAGGCGGTACGGGGTAGTGGTTAGAGCGCCAGACGGACGCCGCGCTTCGCATCGATAGCGCTTTCCGGAGCGTTCCGTGCGTGTGACCTGCTTGTCGCTCTCGCAACATCCCTGCCGGGTAGGCCAGGGTAGTGTTCCCTCTAAGCTGAGTGAGTGTGAGCCTAGCTCACAGTTTTTTAGCCTCCAGCTCACACATTTTTGCCTTAGCTCAGGAAGGAGGGCTCCAGAGCAAACTGATTTACGCAGTAGCCAGATCGCTCGCTCACAACTTTAATGCCAGGAGCTCACAAAGTAGGATTTTTGCTCACAAGACTCCACAGCTTAGAGGGAACATTGGTTATTATCCCCGGGTGGGGGGGAAATGGCTTGACGGAGTTTGCGGCAGAGGGACTTCCTGGAGCCGCAACGCCACACCGGCTCTCGACGAAGGAGGTCTTGGGTTCGAATCCCCGCTCGGTCATGGTGCTCACTGAGAGGCCGCTGGCAAGTTGCCCTCTCTCAGGGTGACCCGCTCTGCAGGGTTGTCGTCATGGTCAAACGGGACCAAATCACTCATTTCGGTGCCCTGACCTGGATAGTCCAGGCAAGCCAGATCTCGTCAGATCTCGGAAGCTAAGCAAGTATTTGGATGGGAGACCTCCAAAGGATACCAGGGCCGGGAGGCAGAGGCATCAAGCCACTTCCTTCATGCCCCAGTAGGAGTTGCCAGAGGTTGCCATGACTTCCAGGCACGCGTATACACACACACACACACGCAAAAATCCCCCCAACAGTGTTCCCTCTAAGCTGAGTTAGTGTGAGCTAGCTCATAGTTTTTGAGCCTCCGGCACACACATTTTTGTCTTCGTTCAGGAAGGATGGTTGCAGAGCAAACTAATTTATGCAGTAGCCAAATTAAAGCTCACAACTTTAATGCCAGTAGCTCACAAAGTAGAATTTTTGCTCACAAGACTCAACAGCTTAGAGGGAACATTGCAAAAATCCCTCATTTGGGCCACAGTTGTCTGGCTGGTTCTCTCTCTCAGAGTGCACCTACCTCACTGGTTGGTTGTCGTGGTCAACCGGGATCAAATCCCGCTTTGGGGGCACAACTCTCACTGGGGAATGCATTCTCTCCCAGCCCTAACGTGCCTCACAGGACTGGAGTGAAGATCACCTGAGGAGAGGAATATTCCTTGATTAAGGTCAAGGTCAGGGTTTCCCTTGCTCGAAAGCCAGTTGAATCCGACTCTAGGGGGCGGTACTCATCTCCGTTTCCAAGCCAAAGAGCCAGCGCTGTCCGGAGACTACTTCTGTGGTCACGTGGCCGGCATAACTAAACACCAAGGGGCACGGAACGCTGTCACCTTCCCACCAAAGAGGTATCTCTTTATCTACTTGCAATTTCTTGCTTTCAAACTGCTTAAAGGTAAAGGTAAAGGTTCCCTTGCTTGAAAGCCAGTCGAATCCGACTCTAGGGTTGCAGTGCTCATCTCCGTTTCAAAGCCGAAGAGCCAGCGCTGTCCGAAGACGTTCCCGTGGTCATGTGGCCGGCATGACTAAACACCAAGGTGCACGGAACACTGTTCCCTTCCCACCGAAGTGGTACCTCCCTTATCTACTTGCAGTTTCTTGCTTTCAAACGGCTAGGTTGGCAGGAGCTGGAACTAGAGACGGGAGCTCACTCCGTCTTGCAGCACACTCGGGTCTTGAACTGCTGAACTACCGACCTTCCACAGCCTGCAGTGCAGTGTCTTAACCACTTGAGCCACCGCAGCTCCTTACTTACTGCTTACCCTTCAGCAAATTTATGCCTTGCACTTCTTCCAAGAAGCTGCAGGGGGTGCCTGTGCTCTGTTCTTCTCCCAACGACCCTGCGAGGTAGGTCGGGCTGGGAGATGGGGGACCAGGCCACACTTAAGCTACACTGTGGAGGTGAGCAGAGAATGCGCCTTGGCCGAGTTCGAACAACCATTACCCACCACGCCGCATCTTAAGGTGGGGTGTGCGAACGTGATGGGATTTCAGCAAAAGCGTGGTCTCCTTTCCTCCCCGAGTCCAGGGGAGTGGCGCCGGTTGAGGAATCAGTTGTCCAAACTGGGCGGCCTCGGAAAGGCCTCGTTCTTCAGGAATTTCTGCTCTCCAGGTGACCCCAGCTGGGCCGCGTCAGTCACCACTGGGAAAGCCCGGCCTCCTTCAGAGAGGGGGGAAGCGGACCCCTTTCCACTTGGGATTTAGGGATTGTCACTGGAGCCAGGAAGGAACCATTAGCACTGGGGGGGAGGGGGCAGGTGCCCGCCAGCATGGCTCAGCTTGTGTGAAGCGGCAGCTCCGGGGCCAACACTGACCCCTGGCCCTTCTCAAATCCTGCGCGTCTCTTGCTTTGAGGGTGCCAGACAGAATTTCAAAGAAAACGGTCTCTGCCTCCAAAAGCGTTCCCAGTCTAAAGGTCCACTTGTGGGGAGGAAGGACTCACAGTTCCACTGTTCCCGCCATACATTTTGTTAGTCTTTAAGGTGCTCCGGGACTCTTGCTCTTCTCTTCTGCGACAGACAAACACCCATCTATAAGGGAGCAGTGACTCACCAAAGCTCATCCCCTGCCACAAATTGTGTTAGTTTTCAAGGTGCTCCTGGATTCTTGCTCTTTTCTCCTGCTACGGACAGACTAACACGCCCACCCATCTTGAAGAGGTGAGCAGTGACTCACCAAAGCTCCTCCCCTGCCACAAATTGTGTTAGTCTTGAACAGGGGGTCATTTTGTAGAAAAAGAGGCGGAGGAGCTCATTAGCATAGCGTATTAGCACAACTTATTTGCATTTTTGCTCGTGCGTTTTTGGGGGGGGGGGGGGGGAAGATGTGCAGATCTGCCCTCACAGAGGAGGGAGAGCTTGTACCTGAAGGCCGGCCGAGGGAGGGGGCTCTGCAACTTACCTGGCTGCTTCTTGCTCCTTGTGGGCTGACTGAGGGCTGCTGGGAGCAGGGGGCGGGGCTTGTTGCCTGTGCCCGCCCCCTGGGCTCCTTACTGCCGGAGCTCCGCTCCTGTGCGCTCCCGCAGGAAATGACCCCTGGTCTTGAAGGTGCTCCTGGACGCTTGCTTTCCCCCCTGATGCTACAGACAGACTAACGGCTACCCCCATCTTGAAGAAGTGACTCACGAGAGCGCCTCCCCTGCCACAAATTCTGTTAGTCTTTCAGGTGCTACTTTGGAGAAGCGAGCGGGGACTCACGAAAGCTCCTCCCCTGCCACAAGTTTTGTTAATCTTTAAGGTGCTCCTGGGCGAAGATTTGCCAGAGATGCTTTAGGCTGGTCCTGCGTTGGGCCAGGGAGTTGGACTAGATGGCCTGTATGGCCCCTCCCAACTCAGTGATTCTATGACTCCTGCTCTTTTCTCCTGCTAGAGACAGACGAACAGGGCCACCCATCTTGGAGAAGTGAGCAGGGACTCACCAAAACTCCTCCCCTGCCACAAATTGTGTTAGTCTCTCAGGTGCTCCTCGACTCCTGCTTTTTTCTCCTGCTACTGACAGACGAACAGGGCTACCCATCTTGGAGAAGTGAGCAGGGAGTCCAGAGGTCATTTCGGGGGGGATCGCGGGGGATCGCAGTTCCCCCGGGTGAGGTACGGGGGGCGGGGCACATGATAAAGCCCCGCCCCCTGCTTCCGGCCGCCCCGCTTCCGGCCCTCATTCAGCAGGTCCACCGCCGGGCCCCTCATGGGGCTCGGCAGTGGAGCTGCAAGGCCGCCGCCGGCGGCCGGGACCGTTGGGGGCGGGGTGTGTGGCCTTATGACACACTTCCGGTGATGTCAGGGGAGTGTGGCCTTATGACACACTTCCGGTGATGTCAGGGGGTGTGGCATATGCTAACGAGTTATGCTAATGAGTTCCCCTAGCTCTTTTTCTACGAAATGACCCTTGGCAGGGACTCATGAAAGTTCCTCCCCTGCAACAAATTGTGTTAGTCTCTCAGGTCCTCCTGGACTCCTGCCCTTTTCTCCTGCTACAAGCAGACGAAGAGAGCTACCCATCTTGGAGAAGTGAGCAGGGACTCACCAAAGCTCCTCCCCTGCCACAAATCGTGTTAGTCTCTCGGGTCCTCCTGGACTCCGGCTCTTTTCTCCGGCTACAGAATGACTAACTGGGCTCCCCGTCCTGATCTAACCCTGCAAAAGAAGCTCAGGCTTCACAGAAACATTTGCTGGGAAACAGGTTGGCTGAGCCGGGTCTTGTTCGACAGAGAGCTGGCCTGAAGTGCTTCAAGGGCAGATCTTAAGGAAGTGCGAAACTGCCGTGGAAGCCAAACCCGACGGGCTTTTGCGGGTGAAGGTTCACGGCCCTTCTCCGAGAACCAGTCAGTTCACGCAGGGAGCGCGCCTGTCCTCCTCTTCAACCGGATTCGAGTCTCCCCACTCCCGCCGGCTTTTGCACAATCCTGGGTGGAAAGAGATTATCTGGGTGGGAGTAAAGGGGGAGGACGAAGAAAGGGAGGGAGGCTGCCGTCAGGAGGTCAGGGCTGTTCCTAAAAACAGATTGTTTTCTGGAGGGGGGAGAGAGGGTTTTAAGGAGGCTTGGAGTCTTCGGTCTTTCCAGAGTAGCATAGCGGGCAAAACGCTAGTGCTTAGGTTTGCCAACCTCCAGGTGGAGCCCGGAGATCTCACATAATTACAAGTGATCTCCAGATGACAAAGATCCAGGAGGAAATTGCTTCTTTGGATGGTGGACTCCGATGGCATTTGTACCCTGTTGAGGTCCCTCACCTCTCCCAACCCTGCCCTCCCCTGGCTTCATATCTTCAAGAATTTCCCAGCTCGGAGTTAGCAGCCCTGTGGAACTCATTGCCACAAGACAGAGTGATGGCACTACTAGTTTAGAAGGTCCTTCCTTCATTCCTTCCTTCCCTCTCTTTCTCTCTCTCTTTGTCTTTCTTTCTTTCTTTCTCTCTCTCTTTCTTTCTCTTTCTCTGTCTCTTTCTCTCTCTCTGTCTTTCTCTCTGTGTCTTTCTCT